GGAGATGATGATGATGATGATGATGATGATGATGATGGAGATGATGATGATGATGATGATGATGATGGAGAGGAGGAGGAGGAGGAGGTAGGATACCTTGACGAGCGGAGGACAAAGTGCCTTCCATCTCCTTCTGCAGTCCTCAGGACTGGTAGGAGAGTAAGAGAGGTATAGCAGGGGGGGACAGGACGAAGGAAGCGAAGAGAATGGAGGATGAGAGGAATTGGGAGAAAGAGATGAGAAAGAGATGCGCAAGAAGAAGAGGGGAAAAGAGGAGGGAAGAAGGATGAGAGGAGAGAAGAGAAAACAAGGATGAGAGGAGAGAAGAGAAAACAAGGAGAGAGGAGGAAGAGAGGAGTATCTCTGTTGACCTTCTGTTCTGAAAGAAACGCGACACTCTCATCCAATCAGTTCCACAGACTTCGACCTTGAAAGGAGGAGAAAGTGAGGCGAGAGAGCGAGGAACCTGACGGAGATTTACAGCATATCGAAGAGTTCCTGCAAGCTTCCTTCAGCAACAGTGACAAGTCAACAACATCAGTGATTGGCCCAGAGCGACAGGCAGCAAGAAAGTTGAGCAGCGGCAGTATCAGAGTAGGTGAGAGGAGAGGAGATGAGACAGGGAGCATAGGAAAGGGAAGAGTGGACGTGAGGAGGAAGGAGAGAGGAGGGAAAGAGGAGAGGACGGGAGGAGAGAAGGAGGAGAGGAGGAGGAGTGGACGGGAGGAGAGAAGGAGGAGAGGAGGAGGAGAGGAGAGGAGGAGAGGAGGAGAGGAGGGGAAGAGGAGGAGTGGACGGGAGGAGAGGAGGAGAGGAGGGGAAGAGGGAGGAGGGGAGGAGAGAAGGATGAGAGGAGGGGAAGTGAGGAGGAAGGAGAGAAGAGGGAAGGAGGGGACGAGGGAGGAGGGAGGGACGGAAGTGCTTCACCGTCGCTCTTTGTGTCCCATCGCTGCGGGTTGATTGAAGTCTCCCGCGAGCTCTCCAGAGTTGACTCGCTCAGCTCGGCAACGGCGACTGCTTTCACGTCAGCCCCGCAGCCCAGCAACTTCAGTCCGGCACCTGCTGGGGCCGCATACACGAGCGGCGGATAGTGCGAGACGAATGGAGGCTGCTGAAGTTGAGCGGAGGAGGAAGGAGAAAGTGGGACATGCAAGTCAGATGAGGAGGACGGCAAGCTTGTCTTCTGCTTTCCGACTTGAAGTTTTCTCAGTTCTCTCATGTAGACCTGCAGATCTCTTTACCTTTGCTTGCCTTCTCTGGTCCCATGACAAAGACTTGACTTGGGGTCACTGAGCACGCATATCAGCACTACCAAGTCAGGAGCAGGAGCAGGAGCAGGAGCAGGAGCAGGAGCAGGAGCAGGAGCAGGAGCAGGAGCAGGAGCAGGCACCTTACCTTTTATCACTCTTGTAATCTTGGCAACAAGCCCTCCCTGCTGTCTTTCGCCTCCTTCGTTCGACGTCGAAGGGACTTGAGATGAAGACCCTTGCACCTCTCCCGCCTCTGCCTCTGACTCGCTCTCCGTATCATTGTTTTCCATCCCCTGCATGGCAGCTTCGTCGGCTGCTCCCTGCTTCTTCCCCTTTGCCTCTCCTTGCCCCCCTGCTTGCGATGTGCCTTTTCTTCCGTCAGCCTTCAATTCAGCACCAAAGGTCTTCATCAGGGACGTTCTGAGCGAGTCGACTTTCAGCAGCTGCCTTCCCCTGTCGAAATGCGTCAGACCCGAGTCCCCACTACTCTCGTCCTTCTCCACATCAACACTGTCGTTGCCACTCTGCTCTGCTCTGCTCTGCTCTGCTCTGCTCTGCTCTGCTCTGCTCTGCTCTGCTCTGCTCTGCTCTGCTCTGCTCTGCTCTGCTCTGCTCTGCTCTGCTCTGCTCTGCTCTGCTCTGCTCTGCTCTGCTCTGCTCTGCTCTGCTCTGCTCTGCTCTGCTCTGCTCTGCTCTGCTCTGCTCTGCTCTGCTCTGCTCTGCTCTGCTCCTCCCTCTGACTTCCCCTCAGGCTCGTCGCAAGGAACGGCGTGACGGTCGGACTTTGACATCTCTCACCATCGCTGGTATCATGTACCCACCCCTCCTCTCCCCTTCCATATTACCCCTACTGTCTCATTCATTCGAGACTACCCGTATGTGTGTATGAATTCTAATGGGTGGGGGTAATCGTGGGAAATGCGATTGCCAGCGCCCAGCGTGGTGCGAGGATGGGGAGGAGCCATGCTCATGCGTGAGAAGGTGATGGCGCGAGCTCCTGTCACAGCACATTCTCTCACAGGCGGAAGAGGAGGAGGGAGGGGAAGAGGACAGGCTTCCTCTCGGTTCTCGCCTGTCCGAGGGATGGGATCCCCTCCTGCCTTCATGGCACTGGCTTGCCTCTCCATGGCTGCAGCATCGACGGGAGGAGAAGGCAGCATGAACCTTCACGATGCGATGGTGGTGGATCAGGATGGGCATAAGATGCGATTGGAGGACGCAGCGAAGGGTCGCACGGTCAACTACTCTGCGCATTACCAATGAGAGTGATAGACATACAGGTCGGGCTCTACTTTGCCGGCGAATGGTGTCCCATGTGCAGAAGTTTCACACCGAAACTCAAGGAGTTCTTCAATGAGAAGGCGCAGGACAAGCAGACGGGGAACCAAAGAGCCACCATAGTCTTTGTGAGGTAAGGGACGAGAATGCGATGTGGAGGGTAGGAAAAGCTTCCAGGCTCTGAAGATAATGACGTCAGCTCGGACTTCTCCAAGGAGGCGGCAGACTCTCACTTCAGGAATCAAGGGAACTGGCTCTACCTCGGTAGGCGACTGTTGCTCTCTCACCTCCATCTCACCCGAGTCTTGTCAGATTACGACTCGCCCCTACGTCAGCAGCTCAAGCAGAAGTTCAGGATATGGGGAGGGATGGAGTCTTCTTCGCTCGGATTCGACAGGAGGAGGTGACTTGTTTCTCTGCGCTCTATTCTTTACTCTCATGCTAGTGGAATCCCCGGCATGGTTGTGATTGGGAGAGACGGCAACGAGATCACATACATGAATACTGAGAGCAAAGGCGTCAAGGCTTTGGAGGTAAGAAAACCCTATACCCCCTCGAGCTCTTTCCATTTTACATCTCCAGCCTTTGATCTTCTCTCTTTCTCTCTCCATGATATCTCTAATGGTTCCTACAATTCACCTCCCATCTCATTCTCTCGCTCCTACCTCCTTGTATTCTCGCATGCCTGTGTCACGCTATCCCATTTAGCCTCTCTGCTAATTTTCCTGTCTTCTCTGTCGTGCTCTGGTCTTACTGTCTCGCCTTGCAGGCATGGAATCTCGATTCAAATGCATGGTGAACAAGCGAAATTCGATCGTTCTGCTTTCTTGGTCTACAATAAACTTCTTCGCTCTAGTCAGGCGGGCAAGGGAGTCAAGTCCGCATCAGCTTTCCCGTTGCCTTTGGAACTCATCAGGTCATGACCCTCGCGCTCCTCTGCCTCACCGTGCTTCTCGATGCTTCTCTTCATGCTCACGATAACTTCCTGCGGGTTCTTCGCCTTGAACACTGAGCTTCCAGCTACAATCCAGTTGGCTCCTGCCTTGGCACACTCGTCGATATTGTTAGGGCCGATGCCCCCGTCCACCTCTACGTCGAGGTTTGGAAACTTCTCTCTGCCAACGTCTGGTCAGGAGCGGGAGAGCAAAAGCAGGAGGAGCTGGATGAGCAGGAGGAGGAGGTACCTGAGCTCCTCCACCTTGGGCATCATGTCTGCCATGAACGCTTGTCCTCCTGGACGAAAATTCAACCACTCCTCCTCCCCTTGACGTCTTGTTACCAAATCCCGGCTCGACTGTCATAACTAGCACCAGATCCAGGTCATCAACAAACGGGAAGACGGTAGACACCGCGGTCTTTGGTTTGACTGCAATCCCGCACTTCATATTTGCTGCTTTGATGGCTTGGATGAGGCTTCTTGTCTCCTGCTCATCTTTCATAACTTCGATATGAAACGTGAACATGTTGGCTCCTGCTTCTGCCATGTCCTGCAACAGCTCGTTAGGTCAACTCTAGTCTCGCCCTTTCGAGTTGCTTTTCACCTTCACCCACTTTGCAGGCTCGGACACCATGAGATGGACATCAAAAAACGCTTTTGAATGCTGCAAGCTGAATCAGCGACGGCTCCCACAGGCCAGCCATGGCGTTTCACCGGCTTGAGGCACTTGATCACGGGGGCTCCCCAAGACAAGTTGGGAACAAAGTGGCCATCCATGACATCCAAATGCACCTGATTGCTCGGGTCACAGCGGTCATCATCAGATTCTTGATTCACATAATCCTCCGAGGTTGGAGCTACTCTGTTGGCCTCGTCGGCCAACTTTGCGAGGTCGCATGCTAGCAAGGATGGGAGGATAGCAGGAGAGCGAGTGTGAAACGACATCTGATAACAACAAGCAGTCAATTCAACATGCGCGATCAAAGTTTTCTGGATCAAAACATCTGCAGTACCGAGCGGACCAATGAACAACTTAACGGAAGCTTGAACAAGCAGCTTTCAAGCTAGATTTTTTTGGGAGCATGTCTATTAGCTATGGATATGTAGTCTCCGGCATAACCATGTTACAAGTACCTCTTGCTCTCCAACCCCCTCCGCCCCCACTCCCCACCTCTCATCGCAACTTCCCCCCCTTCATCAGCCTCAGCTTTTGCGCCATTTTCATTTGCACGTGAAGAGCGTGAGGGATGGCCCGCTGCAGGTCGGTAGCCGAAATGCAGCCGCCACCAGGCAACACCGGGCCTTTGAGCTAGTTTGCTGTCCCGACGGCCGACGGTCCGATAGCCGGGTAGGCCCGCCATTCTCCTTCGGAGTTTTCTGTAGCTCTATTTTCCGATTTCTCGAATTGATCCCCAATTTTTGCTGAAGTCTCAGGAAATAATTTTTGTATATTCGAAGTTGCCAGATATTCCCTTTGAATTATTGTTTGATAACTAGGGACCCCCTCCGGTTTTTAATTGCACCTGGGGTCGAATGGATCGCGCGGGAATTTTTCGTGACCAGAGGGAATGAAGCGACAAGAAGGGACTCAAGGAAGAGGAGGAAGCGGGAGGGAGGGAGGGAGAGGAGAGCAAGAGGAAGCAGGCTCCAGAAGGAAGGGGATGAGGAACGGGCAGGAGGGGAAGGGCAAGGAATGTGTTGGGAAGCGATGGGGAGCGAGCAGGGACGAGGAGCAAGGGATGAAGGGGGGGAGAAGGAGCATAACGGGGGGGGATCCTGGTCGACATCGGGACATTCAGACTTAAAGTGTTTTATGAGGAATTTGAGCAAGAAGAGCGAAACAGAAGTCGAAGTGGGAAAGACTGCCTTGACCAGACAAGGGAGAACTGAATGCAGGAGAAGTTAAGTAGAGATATGCGATGAGAAAGAAGTAACTCAGTGACGTTCAAAATTATTTTGATTCAGACTTCTGCGGAAGAGTCTATCAGACTGAGATGTGTACAGGCATTATCATTCAGCTCCCAATGGCCACTTCTCAAGAATGGCTGACGTCAACTCTGATGATTCTGTCGATCCTCGTTGCTCTCTGCTCCACCAACATTCACGCAGAAATCAACGCAGGTCATGGCCGTGTGCTCCTCTCCTCAGAGAACACGACAAACACCACGACAAACGAAACGACAGCCGCTGCAACAAACGCCGCGAATGAAACCACCTCCACGACCCCGACGGTGACTACTAGTACTACAGCAGCACCAACCACCTCGACTACTAGTGCCCCTACTACCACCTCTTCTACGACAGCTGCTCCAACAACCGTAATCACCACCACCACCACCACCACCCCTGCAGCGCAACCTGGTGGAAACACTCAGGGTACTACCACTACAACAACGCCTACAGCTTCATCCTCGACTTTCGACGTCGGCGTTGCGACCAACGGGTCGTATACTGTTTCCCTAACCTCGCCAAGCGATGGTGCATCATTTTTGCTTTCTTCCGCAGCGAAAGAACAATTGGGTCTCAAGGCAACTCAGTTGTGCGGCGTTGTCTTTCCAAAGGGTGCATGGCCGTCCTCTCTTTCAGGTACCCAAGTGCAGATCGCTTTAGTGCTCAAAACCGGTGAGATTGTGTCTTCCAATGCTTTGGATGGAAACAAGGTAAGTTTACCATGGGAGAACCGGAAGATTCAATCATCTATGTTGTAGGTGAGTGGACCAATCCTGAGCTTTCGCACATCGAATACAACGTGAAGTGAGCTACGATCAAACTTCTCCTGGCTGATTTCCTTTCGATCTCCCAGCACCACTTTTCTTGCGCCAGTGTTGCTCTATATTCCGGTGGACATTGCTCAGATCAATCCAGACTACGATTATTTTGTTTACGTCTATAACAACGTGTCAAAGAAATGGGACCAGTGCGTTGAAGTTCTGTTGTGTCACACAATGGCTAACGATAGGAATGAGCAGGAAAGAAACTGATGCGAAGAATTTGTCATTAGGATTCGTAAATCATCTGTTGTTTGCAGGTTGTCACATGACTTCCTTTTTCAGGTACAAGGATCGACTTCGTCCTTTTCTCTGTACACGGTGCTTGCCATGCTGACGTGTTTCGCAAGGCTCACACAGACACATCGCAGGTGATGCAGGTGTCAAAACCCGCCAAGTGCGGAACTGGATGCATCATCGGAGCTGTCGTTGGTTCTGTCGTCGGAGCTCTGTTGCTGGTGGTGGGAACAGTCTTCACATACAAGCAAGTCGCCATGTCGCATCGTTCCTCTCTGACATGGATGTTCAGGAAATGTCAAGAAGGCGACCCGGATCTTGGCACTGGCCGCAGCGAAGCGAGCCATGGCGGGAGTGTGTGAGTCGACTGATGGAGAAGGCGTGTTCGGGGAATGTGAAATAGTTACAAGAACGAAGAAAAGTTGCTTATGCTGTGACAATACTTTTGTTTCATCTACATTATCCTCACTATCGGCAACTCCCACAAGTGCATGCAACCTCGATTATGTTCCAAATATGATGAGGAGGACCATTGAGATGAGGAGGACCAGGAAGATCTTGGCCATGAGCCCTCCTGCCATGCCGTCAGTTAAAGTCGCTTCGGGCGTTCGGATGCAGAAAACGAAGCAACGAGGCAGAGCAACGTACTGTTTGATGTCAGGGTCTGGTAGTACTTCATGAGTTGAGTGTGTCCCTGATCCACTGACAAGGCAGGTCAGAGGAAGAGCAGCGGGGGGCTGAGGGCTGACCGTGGTGAAGAGCCTCGTCCATGTTGGTGTCGATCCTCTCGATCTGCTCCTGCTGGAGCGAGACCATCTCTCCCAGCTTTGAGAACACAGACGCCAGCTGTTCCCCAGCAGCCGTCAGACCGTTTCTTGCTCCTCAACTTCTTTACCTCATTGATAGACTTCTCAATGTCTTGCACGGAGAGCGCGCGAGATTCCGCGTACTCCTGCTCAACGTCAGCTGGCACCTCAGCACAACGTCGGGCTCTGCCTGTGTCAGATCCTGCATCGGCATGCCCAGCTCGATGACAACCTCCCCTCCGTTAGCGTGCGAGTCTGTGTGCTCGCCCTCCCTGTTGCCGCGTCACAGGCCTTCACAGCAACCCGGACCAACCTGAGGAAGGACGGCTGCGATGAAACCGCGAAAGACTGACGCGCGAGTCAGATCGCAAGTTCTCTTTCCTCTCTCCTCTGTCCCCCGTTATCTTTTCCCCTGATCCAACTTTCCTCGACCACTCTCCCGCTCCCCCCTCCTTTCCCTCCTTGACCTTCGCAGACGAGTACTCATTCCGTCGGTCTTGCTGTCTTTGCAAATTTTCCGATCTCATCTGCTCTGCTTCAGGGCCTGAATCCCACACTTCCTCTGCTCTCGACCTGCAGCACAGCCGCAAACTTCTCTGCTGTGGTCTTGAGATTGGACTGTGAAGGGCTCAGAACGCGCGACAGCTGGCAGTAGACTGTGATGCCTGCAAGCACTTCTTGACGGAGCCTGCATGCTCGTTGCTGGACATGACGCGAGTCAGCGAGGAGCAACAGGAGGGATGGGAAAGCGAACCTTTGAGCATTGGGAGGGTTTTCTATGCTATGTATGTTTGATAGCTCCTCGAGGTCCTCGTTGAGACGCTGAATGTCCTGCACATGCCCGGGCCGTCAAGGTCGGAAGGAGAGCGACAGGGCAAGGAGAACCTGAGTGATGATGTAGGAAAGCTCAGAGATCTCCGTCGCTGGATCATCGAACAACGACTTGCTCTTCGCCACTGACGACAAGGTCAGCAAGAGACGCCTCGCTCCTCGGCTCACGTTTCGTCAGCTTCGCTAGCTTCTCGGCAGTTCGGTGAATATCCTGGACATCAACAACATCAGGGCCGTCACTATCTCACTTCATCGCACCTTTCCAATTTGTGCTGCTTTCTGTGAGAAACGCTTCCTGTGGCTTAGCGCAGAATTCTCCTGCGCTCACGCTCTCAGCAACAGCAGCTGCACGGTACACGAGAATGAACCGAAGGTCGAACGGACGAGATGCCCTGCAACGACAACTAAAGTAAGACCCGAGCATGTCTCAAGCTCTGCTGCTCACCAGCCTTTCTCGCTCCGTTTGGCATGTGAGGAAAAATTCCCTGGACCGGTCCCTGACGCTTCCCTCGCTCATCCTGGGACCGTCATTACCAGCGGAGAGGGGAGCGAACAGTTCACAATTTGATCCGTCAAGCTAACAATGCACTGTTTTCACTCATTGCTACTTGACCTTCTTGTTGTTTCCACACCTTCTCTGTCTCCTTCTCCTCTCCATCCTTCCTCTCCTCTCCAACCCTTCCCGCCGTCTTCCCCCACCCACTCACCCACCTGGTCCATATTAATTTTGCCTTTCCCTGCTCCCTGCTTTCCCTGCTCCCCACTCTCCCCTGATCCTGATTCTTTCACTCGCCTCCTCTCATCTTCCTCTCACTCCTCCTCCTCCTCCTCCTCCTCCTCCTCCTCCTCCTCCTCCTCCTCCTCCTCCTCCTCTCCTCTCCTCGCCGTTGCCCCTCGCTTCCCTTCCATGAGGCTTCGTGGCATCATTCCTACTACCCTACCTCGTCTTCGCGATCCTGACCACTACCCCACCGGTCACAATATAGTGAATTTACCCCCCTTTGCACTGGATATGAATCTTCTCACCCCCACCCCCAGTGATCCCCTCCATCAAGCTGAAGGTGGAACCTTGTAGATGAAATGCAAGGAATAGGATGACGACAAGAAGGTGATGGAGGTCAAGAGGAGGGGAGGAGGGGAGGAGGGGAGAAAGAAGGAGAAGGAGAAGGGAGGAAGGGAGAGGAGGAGGGGGGAAAGAAAAAGAGG